TCAATTAAAATAGTATTAATGCACCACATTTAAAATGTGTTATTCCCCTTCTATTCACTTATCTCTCGATGCTTTCTGTTAAAAAATATCATACTCCCTTTAAAAAACAAGTTCAGAAAAACTTTTTATGGTCAATATTTCCCCTCATTATTTTGAATATTTCATTTAAATCTTTATCTATTCCAATTTTAGTCATATCTTATCTAATTCCACGTGAAGTATCTATAGCTCAACAATTTAAGAAAAGTTATTTTGAATATTTTATTTAAATCTTAATCTATCCAAATACTAATTATATCCTATATTAACCCCATATGAACTAACTTTAGCTCAACAATTTAGAAAAAATAAGATTAAAAAATTATAGGCTGATAACATATTATAATACATAAAATATTAAAAAAAACCTAAAAGTTTCAAAAATTACATATAATAGTCTGAAAAGTTCAAAATTACACAAAACACCTTGAATTCTTAAAATTTAAAAATAAACATGAAATCTAAAAATTAAAAATTTACAATTAACACTCTTAACATTTTAAAAATTGCAAAAACAATCTTAAAAGTTTAAATAATAAAAATGCACCCTAAAATTCAGAGATTTCAAAACTTGGAAACAACATAGATGGATTCTTGGGATTACCATTATGCACTTAAAATTTTAAAATTTTTAAATAAACCTTAAAGTTACAAAAATTATAAAAACTCCCTCAAAAATAAAAATTATGAAAAACCCTAAATTTTCAAAACTTATAACAGGTACACATCAAATTTAGAAATTATCAGCAGATTGTTAAAATTTAAAATTTTTAAAAATAACCCAAAATTTTAGTAATTGTAAAAATACTTTTAAAATTTTAGAGTTATAAGAAATATTTTAACATTTGAAAACTTACCACCAACACATGAAATATGAAAACTATAAAAATCCAACTTAAATTTAAAATTTTCATAAAATACTATCAAAATTTAAAAATTACAAAACACAGCCTCAAAAATTCAAAATCACAAAAAATGCTAAAATTTAGCAAAGAAAAGAGAAAATGTTTGATATTATTACATTAAGATATATAAATTTAACTTTCAATTTAAAATTTATCATAACTTTTCAGCATCTAAAAGATGTCTAAGTTGATGCCGGTAAAAAATAACAATTGCAGTAGATCAAAACTATGCAGTTAAGGAATAAGAATTTAAAAATATATGATAGATTAAAAATTAACATTACTGTATAATTTTACGAAACTGCATATAATTTTACTAATAACATTCATTGATAGAAGACAAATTAATAAAAGACTATAGTATAATAGGTTAGCATTAATTGATTATAATGTATAAACATTTATCTCTAATGTTGATAATATTTATAGGGTAAAAAAATACAATGAGTTATGTATGAAAAACTTGAGTTATGTATGAAAAACTATCAGAAAGTTCAGAGATATATCCTTTAAAAGAATTAAGTTGTTTTCATTTCAAATGGAGTAGTGAAGGAAATAAACTCAAGATTCGGAAATATTCATAAATCACCTGAATTGACATTGATAAAAGGCATATCTAGCAAAGAAGCATTGACCGAGTTCCCCTTGAAGAACATATTGAACAATTTTGTCCTAATTAAAAAAGCATTCTTCATGAAAAATATAAGAAAATTTAGTAAGCACTTATAAATTTGCATACTTTATCCTTAAAATATTAAATGAATCATAAAATTAATATAAAGTTACATATAAACAATCTTGCAATAGAAACTAAAATGAAGTCATTGATCAACTATATTGGGAGATATTATAAGCTACATAAGATGAAGAAAATCACTATAATGGACAAAAAGTAGGCACATGATACTTAGTTACCATAGCAAAAGTAAAAAAAATAAAATTGATATTTTTCTTTTTTTATATAGTGGCATGACTCTGTAAGTAACCTTATTTGGGAATATAACTACCAACGAAGGATCAATTTTTAAGAACACGATCAAAGATATGCATGTAAGATTTTAATATCTTTAAATATAAAGATAACATATTTTATAACTAAAATTCTTATTAAATACTACTAAATATAAAATTCAACTTATATCTGTCTCAAATTTGTAGGAAAGATATGCATGTCATCATAAATTTTGTTAATAATATATATCAATCCAAAGATACAACTTATTAAAGAAATAAGAGAATGATAAGTAAACTAAGAAAACATCCACATAATATGATAAAGAAAAAATATTAAACTTTAAAGCTAATATGCAAGGCTCATTCAGAACAAGCTGCTAAACCAAAAACATCTCCATCAATTCTCTTTATGAATACAATACAAATTTAAATTATTGAATATTTTATAGAATAGCTTAATTTTTGAGTAAAATCAGGAATCTTTAGAAGAGATTTTCATGAACTCTTTTAATATTTTTATATGGTTATGTGAATGTTTTTATCATATAAAAGTGTAGTAGATCGAGTTAGTATTAATCTTTATTTTATAATTTTTTCTAAAGTCTATCAATAATTAGCAACAAAATTTATAGTCTATTTAGTTTCATTCTAGCCTATTTTTAATTAATCATCTTGGCTTATTGGCATTATTCATCCTTTTTTATGACGCTATTTTTCAAGTGTTTTTCACTTTTACAATATTATACATTCTCAAGTCAAGCTTGGTTTCATGTCAATCCAAATAATGTGAAAATTCAAATTAGCTTTAGATTACATTTATTTCTTGTTAATTCAATTACTAACATGAAAATTTTAAATTTGATGTAGCTCGTTCAAACAAACATTAAATAAAATAAATAATCACAATAATAAAATTTAAAGATAAATGTGAGGAAAAATAATCAAAGTCAAATTGAGGAACAAATTTTAGTAAAGAAATATATCAAAAATACATAATCATAGTATTTAATCACGTGCATTGCACGTGCATAAAACATAGTATATATAAAAAAAACGTAAGGAATCATGACTTTGGACTCCATTTTCTTAAGTAAAAGTTTACCTTGCCGTTAGGGCATATAAATTCGATGTACAAAATCTTGACTATTGAATGCAAAAACATTCCACAACAATATGACCTCAAATATAGGATTGCAAAATCCAGAGAAAAAGATAACAAAGAAAACTTTTTAGTTCATGCTTACGAACATAATAATCAATAAAAGACAGGGTACCATCCCTGGAGATATAACTTGAGTACCCAGTAGAAAGAAGAAAAGATCAACAACTTTGTTGGCTTTTAGGCTGAGCAACAGAAGAAAGAAAAGCACAAAAAAAAACCCTCACGGAAAAAATATATCTCACAGAAAAAAATGCTGAAGAAATAAAATCTGCAGAAGAGAATAATTCTATGGACAAATAATGCAGAAAAGAAAAAAATACCCTACAAGATGAGGTCATGATAATATATATAAAAAAAAATTAATACATGCATTATAAAGGTAGGGGGTGGGGGTTTAGTCCTCTTTCTTGGTATTAAGTAATCCCTCCTTTCAAATAGTCCTACAAGTTTAAAAATATAAACATGGGCTTAAAAGGTAGGGCTGTACTATTTTAAAATAGTACCATCATTCTTCGGAAAGTAAACATGCCCTAAAGAGTAAAATAGTAGGAAAGTAAACATGCCCTAAAGTGTAAAATAGTAGTGATAACTACACTACTCTACTTAGGGCTGTTTGGTTCCCTGTGTTTGAGGGAAATGCTCTCTTGAAAGCCTGCCAAAAGTGTCAAAAGTATCACTTTTTGGCAGGCTTTCAGCCAAAATCTTCTTTTTTAGATGCGATTTTGGCTGAAAGCCTGCCAAAAAGTGACACTTTTGACACTTTTGACAGGCTTTCAAGAGAGCATTTTCCTCAAAAACAGGAAACCAAACAGCCCCAGACTACTTCTACAATAAGGGGGTGTTTGTTTGCATGCAAGTGAAAGATGAAAGTGAGAAAGTTACTTTCATTTAACAATTAAGGTGTTTGTTTTCATGTAAGTGGTTATGAAAGTGAGATGTAAGAAAGTTGCCACATAAGATTTAATGTAATTTTGATTTCCCCTAAAAAAATGGTGAAGTCACATGAAAGTGACAAAAATGTAACTAATTTAATTAAATGATTTTAATTATATTTTCTAATTAATCTTATTTTGCCACATCATCTTCATATTACACTTTCGATAATAATTTAATTTTTCAAACAAACACTGTATTTCACTTACGTGTTGACATGAATGTAAAAGTCGTTTGTAAAAAAAAATAACTTACATATTTTAAATTCACTTTCAGATTGCCAAACACCCCCTAAAAGAGAGAAAAATGTGGGGTCTAATATCTCTATCATTTTTTAAAATTGATGACTCATCAAGGGATCCCACGCTTATTCTCTATTGTAGTCTTGTAGAGTAGTAGTAGTGTAGAAAGTTTACAGTTGTAATCATTATTCTTTGGTAAATTGCACTGAACCCCTGTGACTTTCTATGCTTTGCAGTAAACCACTTTGAACTTTTAAAATCACACTAAATCCCCAATAACTTTTGCAGAAACTCCATGAACTTGTAGGTAAATTACACTAGACCCCCGTTAATTTTCAAAATGCCTTTTTATGATGTTTTTTCATTTTAATTTATGGGGTTTACCTACAAACCTTAGAAAGTTCATGGCGTTTTTCTGCAATTCCAAAATATTATTGGGGGTTTAGTGTGATTTTGAAAGTTCATCGGGGGTTTAGTGTAATTCACCCAAAAACACAAAAATAGAAAGAAAGACGCTACATCTAAAATTTAAATTCAATACCAATGTGCACACGATTTCAATCCAGTTGAATTAGGTACCTAGCACAGCTCTCACCAGTCCCATACTACATTTGCTTACAGTTATAACAAAACCAGATTTCGATAAGAATAGATATTGAACATTTAAAACCAAATCATTTGATAACATCCCAATCTTAACGTAAAATCTAATCAAACTATAAAATTATAGCTCCTATATAAAATTCCATCTCCCATCAACTCTTCTCTACTCTCAGAAAAATTCCATGTTATAATACATAGATTGATACAGAGAAGAGATGAGGCCTTCATCTTTTCTACTCGTTATTTCCATCTTATCAGCCTTTGTTCTTCCTTCTCTTTGCGATACTGAGAATGTGACTGTAGACATAGAGGGGGCGACCACCATTGCCAATACCGATCGATCTTTCGTATGTGTGACTCTTGATTGGTGGCCTGCAGAAAAGTGCAACTATGGGATGTGCCCTTGGTATCAATCCTCTGTTTTGAATTTGGTAATGCTTTGAAGCTTTGATATGCAATTTATCTGATCACGTTTTTTATTATTTTTTTTTCTATTTTATATATTGTCAGTGTACTATGAATGCATATTAGAAGTGTATAATGATTTTACCAGGTTAAGAAAGATTTGGTGAGAGTCTGGAAGAACCATAAGATAAATGCAACTATTTCATATCTTAGTTTTAATTTGTTTGAATTTTAAAGTAATATGACCCTCTTAACTTAAAAGGATGTATATGTTTGGTGAAGTTTCTGTGATATCTGATACACCAATTATAATTTGGATTTTCTGTTCATTTTTCATGGAAATTTGGAAATTAACAAAACGTTTAATTTCATTCTTCTTCTTTCATGGAACAGATCTTTGTTATATCATCTGAAATACTCACATTGATGATTATTTTCCGAACAAAAAAGAACATGCATGTCGATGAGTAAATCTGCTATGTTCACCAACTAATAGCAGGAACAGCATTACTACTATGAGTAGAAGTTCATTGTAATTTTATAGTAGAATGAAAATGCACCTTATTGCCATTAGTGTTCAAGCAGAATTGGGCTTTGCTTCTGCTTCATTTCCTAGATAATATCAAAAAATAGTTATTACACAACAAGTTACATGTAAATTTGTTCTTTAGTCGTGGAAAAGAGTGATTCTCACATGTGAACGCTTGACCTCTGTTCCACTTTCATGAGTCATTTGTTTATGAACACAAGGCTTTTAGTCTCCTGTTGTTTGATTATACATCATGATTTTTATCTCTACATACAGTTATCTTAAAGTGTTGAATTTTTTTGCTTTATAAAGTAATGAAGATTTCTCTCGCGATATATTACTAGACGTGTGACATTTCCCTTGTTCAATATCTACATCTCCAGTCTTGTGTGTGGATATGATAAATTTTACTATTTATGAGCCACTCTAATCTTGTTATACATGAAAAGCTTGGGTATCTTATTTTTTCTATATATGCCTTTTGATATCTTGTCAGAAGGTATGGACATGAAAAGCTAACCGATGATATAATTCTGATTCTTGCAGGATTTGAAAAACCCAATTCTTAAAAATGCTATCAAAGGTAAGGGTCTCAGAGATCAATGTCTTATATCCACATATCGGTATATATAATTTCATTTATGGTATTGTTCCTATATAGGTGAAAACTTTGATCCGTGTTTAACCTGCAGCTTTCAATCAACCCCCCTTGAGGGTTAGGATCGGAGGGTCACTTCAAGATCAAATCGTCTATAAAGTGGGGAAAAATCATCCAAAGTGTGAAAAGCTCAAACTTGTTAAAGGAGCATTGTTTGATTTCTCTGCTGGCTGCCTCAACATGTGCAGATGGAAGAAGCTCAATAAACTGTTTCAGGACAGTGGGTAATGATATCTTCTCTTATTTAGATGCAACGAAGAATTTAACCAGTAAAGTTTTTGAAATTCTTTGGTTTTCTACTTTTTTCAATTCACCAATGCCTAATTTGTGATATCTACAAACATTACGTAGGTGTTCTAGATTCTCTTCCAGTAGTTCAACAGCTCTAGTATAATACTAGGAGATGTTCCCTTCTATATGTATTTATCTCTGAGTGTAAATTTGACTCTTTCATGATGTGTACAAATTAACCTAACCCTAATGTTTGAACTTTGCTTTTTTTTTTTCTTTTCCCTAAAGAATTGTGATAGTCTGTAGAAGAATGTCTTCAATCCACAGATTTACATTCTTTTTCTTTTTTTATGTAGCTTATCTAACATAAAAAACAGAAACTAACTCTACATTTTTTTGGTTTTTACTACACCCCAAAACAAATACATAATTGCAGAGCAGTTGTGACATTCGGGTTGAATGCACTCTACGGAAGGAGTCAGCTTAAAAATGATACTTTGTGGGAAGGCAGCTGGAACTCATCAAATGCTAGAGATTTCATCAATCATACTATCTCAAAGGGATATAATGTCGATTCTTGGGAATTTGGTAACTTCTAAAACAACATTTCATCCGAAAAAACTCACCAAAAACTTATTTCAAACGGTCTCTCTAAGATTGTCATAATTAACCTTTTCAGGAAATGAAATATCTGGAGATGGCGTCGCTGCGAAGGTGGATGTTAAGCAGTACAGCCAGGATTTGATTGTTCTCAAAGCACTTATAGATGATTTATACAAAGACAAGAAGAAGCCTATGCTTTTGGCCCCCGGAGGCTTCTTTGATCAAGATTGGTTTGCCAAAATGCTTCAAAATTCGGGACCTAATGTTGTTGACGCTGTGACTCATCACATCTATAACCTTGGTCCCGGTCAGTGCGACAATTAATTTATTGTTCCTATGGTTAATGCACTAAAAAAAGAACCAGCTCATTAGTGTTTCTTCCTTTGTTTAGGTGGAAGCAAAGAGCTATTTGGCAAGATGCAAGATCCTTTCTTTCTGTCTCAAATAGCTCAGACATTCAAAAATGCAGAGGAGACAGTTAAAGATTTTGGCCCGTGGAGTTCTGCCTGGATCGGTGAAGCAGGAGGTGCTTTCAATAGTGGAGGACCAGAATCTGGCACTTTCGTCGATAGTTTTTGGTAACATATCATCTCTTGAAAAATGGCGTGCTTCATGAAAATGTATCGAGTATCGACAATTATTTAATTTATATATGCTTAAGTTTATGCGTCATACTATTTTCATTTTACGTTTTTCTCCTCTAATAGTGGTGCAAATGTTTAGGTTTTTTTCCTCTAATGTATTGTATGACCCAAGTAAGAGCCAGATAAAGTAGTTTAAGCCTCGAATTTTTTGTATCTTTGAAAAATTCTACCAACCCACCGTGACCCTTTCGTATATTAGTTCGGCGGGCTAGGTAACATAAGCAGTGGTGTAATTAAAGCTTCTCCACTCCTACCTCCCAAAATTTGTTATAATTAACAGTATAACATAGTGATAATTAATGTTTCATATTATGTATTCCATGGTCACTTTCTTTATTTGCCCAGTTCTGATGTGCCCAAAGTTCATCAACAAAAAAACAAAAAGGAAAAAAAACAAAAAAAAGAAAAAAATTACGCGCCCACTTCCAACTTCTTAGCAAATTATTTTTGTCTTTCGGCTGTTGATAAGGTACTTAGACCAGCTCGGCATGGCATCCAAGTTCAACCATAAGGCCTACTGTCGCCAAGCGTTGATCGGAGGAAACTATGCTCTCCTTGACACCCAAACATTTATCCCCAACCCAGATTACTACAGGTAAGTTTCGACTGATGAGAACCTATATAGCCTTTCATATATGTATCCCAGTTCTGAATCCTAACTGATCTCTTTATCTCATCAGTGCTCTGTTGTGGCACCGTTTAATTGGACGCCGTGTTCTTCAAGCTACTCACCAGAGCTCGCCTTACTTGAGAACATACGCCCACTGTGGAAGAGACCAAGTAACACAAACTCATCATACAATTCAAACTATTTCTACGTATTTTGTCACACTTAGATTTCTATCTAACCTGCCTGAATTTCTTTGGCAGAATTCAATTACATTGGTGCTGATTAACCTGTCAAACTCTACGGCGTTCAACGTTTCAGTCCAAAATGACATGAACCTGTATCCACCTGAGCTCAAAACAAATTCTGCAACACTTGGAGGACAAAGGGAAGTTTACCACCTAACTCCCAAAGATGGCAATCTCACAAGTCATTATGTGCTTCTCAATGGAAAACTCTTAAATGTTTCAAGCACTGGAGAGATTCCACAAATATCTCCTACCATCACTGAAGCTTCTGCTCCATTGCGCATCACCCCTTCATCTATTGTATTCGTGAAATTCAGGAACATCACTGCTCCAGCTTGTGCTGACAGGGAGAATTAGGAAGTAATTTTCTACAGATAAGTACGTATATAGTCGATAAGAATGGTGCCTTTTTATTATTTTTAACCTTCTAAGTTTCTTAGCAATATGTTGAACTCTTTCAAGTTGGCAGTACGATGTCTACGATATTCTAGTTTATTTATTATTTATTGATTTTTTATTATGATTTTTTATTGATATATATGAGTGTGTATGTGCAAGGGCGCGTGCATTTCATTGAAATTAATAAGGAATAATATTGTACCATTTCCTTATACAAGTTCTGCTGTAAAGCTTCATTTGTCATTTTTTTAATAATAATCAGGTATGTCTCGAGGTACCAAGCATGCGGCTTGAGTCTTAAGTATGGGGAAATGCGAAAGAATATAAATACAAACCAGAACTTCGGATCAAGTTAAAATGAGAAATTACAAAGCACAAGACATAATCGGCATGGCATTAAAAAAAAATTCGTCTGGAACTTTTCATTTTGTTCCAACTTATGATAAAACATTTGCAAAAAACAACAGATTACGATCGAAAAATAAGCCTCTATCTAGTTTTGCCACGATGGCTAAATGCATGGAACGCATAGTACTTGAGCATTTACTGTAATCAGATCAAGTGATCATATAGAAAGAAATGCACGATGAAGAGCTTTTGTATACCTCCATTTTTAGTAGAGCTGTAGAGGATTCCCATTGGGTTACATTGTTTTGCTTCTCGTATAGTCGCCATCTTTTGCTGTGAGAAGAGCTGTCCATGCTTCTCCCTCTACCACGTTTTTTCTCCCCTGTATTGGGTTTAGTGTCATGAATAAGTAAATGAAGTCAAGTTCGTTATCGATTAAATTATTCTTTTATTTTTTTTTAGATTTCGTAAATAGCGTACACCGTGCATTTGATGATGAAGAGACTCTGTCATAACTCAATTCAACTAACCCAGACAAAGTATTTCTATGAACATTTAAAAAAAGGTCAATATTATCCTTAAACGCAGACCTATGAACTCTTGTCGTTTTTGTAGTTGGTAAATTTTTAGAACTCTTGCTATCAAACAAAATTATCCGGAATGGTATTTACGATTTTACTGATAGAAATTTTCACTGAATAATATAGGCTGTTTAGAAGATGCATCGGTACAAAATTTAGTGAAAGAACATTTGTTGAATGCGGAACGAGTCCGTGAGCCACGAGAGAAGATAACCAAACCAAACACGAGCACAATCCAATCCAAAATATGACAAATCAAACCAAACACAGAGATATACGTGGTTCAGCAATTTGCCTACGTCCACGGGAAGAGGATGGGAAGACTTAACTAAATCAAGAAGAGTACAAAGGGTTACAATCTCACAAAAACTCACAAATAAACCCTAAACCAAAGCTCTCTCCTTGCTCACAAGTTCTCCCTCTCAATATGCTCGGTACAATCTCAAATATCTGATTTTAACCAAACCCTAAAATTGGTTTCAATATATATATATATATCAAAACACAAACCAAATCAGAACAGGAAATAAGGCCCAAGCCCAAACCCGACTGGCGGTCGACCGCGCCAATGCTCACGGTGTTGGCCTTCTTGTTTTGATGATGTTTAACAAACAATTTACTTCTAATGTTGTTTGTCTAGTGTTTGTGTTTTTTGTATTTATTCTAGGCAAACAACGTGTTGGAGATGGATGGATTGCGCCATAACGACGATATCAAATGGAGGTTGGCGGAATTATGGAGTGAAGCATCGTACAATTCAAGTTCAAGATCCAAGTTTAGCTTCACCCGCAACGTGTACCAAGTTGAGCTACAATGAAGATCAAGATCATTGCTTGGGTATATTTAGTATAGGTTTATATCATGTGTGTTAATTCTATAAGCTCAAACATACACACACATATATATTTGTGATTTTCGTAACTATAAGTGTTTTTATGCAAAATAAGTTTTGGACTATATTTACATCATAAACAACTTTTATTATGTCCATATAAATATTCCATAAGTTTTCAAAACTTGTTTTGAGTCAAAAATAACAATCACATGTTTTTCATATATACGTCTTTTAGTGCTTTTGCAGAATACAGTGTTTTTCACAAATTATAAATGCAAATTGAGAAATTCTTTTTCTAACATGTTTGTTTTCATGTTTAAAAATATTTCTCAAAGTTTCATCAAGTTTGGAATTGATTTGTTATGTTTAATGGAATTTACAAAATCATAATTTTCATTCGTGCATGTTCGTGCATGTTTTACAAAATAGATGATTTTTCATAAATGGAAAATGATATTCAAGAAATTCTTTCTTTGACATGTTTATCTACATGTTTAGAAACTTCCTTCAAAATTTTACTATTTTTGAAGTTGATTTACTATGCCTAATTGATTTTACAAAATCGTGTATCACAGCAGATTTTCAGAAACTGTATTTTTGTGTTCAAATATTTATTTCTCTCAACTGGAAAAATATTTTTCAGAAATTCTTTCTCTGACATGTTATTATATATGTCTAGAACATTCTCACAAAAGTTTATAATTTTTGGAGTTCATTTACTATTTTAAATTGATTTTACAAAACAGCTGCGCACTGCTACAGTAATCCGGTCGACCGGACCGGTCGACCGGAAATGTCTCTGGACGTTGGTTACTGTAGCTAACGGCTATAATTCCCAGATTTTGATATATCCATTTTTTTTGTCTTTTTGCTTGGTTTTCTTGGGTTTTGGGGCTTGTTTCATGAGCCTATATATACCCCATGCCCTCATACTTCTAAGGGCACTCAAGAAATGTTTTAAACAAGTTTAAAGAGTTTTAAACAAGGGTTTAAGTATGTTTTAGTGTTTGTTTGGTTTGAAGATTGTTTTCACAAGTGGAGGAGATCATCTTCTTGAAGAATCTCTAAACTCATTTCTAGCTATTTATTATTTTGTTTATAATTTCTATATGCTAGATTTTAATTGAGTTTAGTTTTGATTTTGATTTCACTCATTGTTTACACACACCCACTTGAGCTTATTGTATTTGCATACATAGTATATTAGGGTTGTGAGAGATTGTAACATTGAGTTTGTGCTTAATTGAGTTCTCATCTATTGTAGAGAATAAATTTATATTTGTTACATTGTGAGTGTTGTTAGGTTTTCGGTGAGCTAGAAACCGAGTGTGTTGTGAAGTTTTTGGTGAACTAGAAAACCGAGTGTGAGGAGTGAACGTTGTTCGGTGAGCGTTGAAAACCGACATAGTGTGGTTGTAAACGTTATTCGGGTGAGCGTAGAAAACCCGGTTGTGATAGTGGATTTCTCCTCGGGAGTGGGGAGCGGAGACGTAGGACGGAAGGTCCGAACTCTGTGATCATACTGTTTGTTTGAGTTTGTCTTTGGCGTATTTGTTTTTGCATTTATCTTATATCGCCAATTGTGCATTGCTCATTACCATATCATCCACTATCTTGTTTAGATTATCTACCCTTGTGTTGTTTATATATCCTTGCACATACATTGCCTATATCTCATTATTAGGATATATATTGTTGTTCATATTGCTTATCCTAGCTTACAAATATTGTTGTATTTCATACTTGCTAGGATAACTTATTAATCAATTTTAATTGGCTTTGCTAGGATATATCATATTGTATATTGCTTATTCTTGCTTATAACTCTTGTATATCTATCTTGCAAGAATACAACTTGTTAATTAATTTTAATTGGCATTTAATCGGATTAGATTAGCATAAGACCCTAATCACCCCCCCTCTAGGGTCTAACAATTGGTATCAGAGCTTGGTGCTCTTTGATTTAAGGTCTAATCGCCTTGAGTTAAAGATCCAAGTTATATTTTTGTGCTAATCTTGTTTTGATTGCATTTGTATCTTGCTTGCATATTTTTACAAATTATGGATATGAATGATGCATCTTGTTTAGGCTATGATTCTAGTATTGCTCCTAAATTCAATGCTTTCCCTTATGCTCAATGGTGTTTTAGATTCAAAATATTTGTTCAATCTAAAAATATCGATTTATGGGAAATCATTGATTGTGCTTATATTGTGCCCACGTTGGAGAAATCCAAGTGGAGCAAACATGATAAAAAGATGTTTATTATGAACAAGCTTATGTTAGAATTTTTATTAAATGCATTTAATTCATTATTGTCTAACAAGTTTGATTCTTTTGATAGCGCTTATACATTATGGAAATTCATAGAAGCGCATCAAGGAGACTTGGAGGCGATCCGACAAGCTTTGGAGGATCCCGCTTCAAGTTCATGTGGAGCATCATGCACACGGCCACTAGGCGATAGCCCTAGTGAGGTTTGCGAGTTCGAACCCGATAATGATTTATCTAGTGATGAACTTGCTTGTGCTAGTGAAAAATTATTACATGCCTTTAACAAATTGCAAAATGATTTCATTAACTTACAAAGCAAGCATGAAGATTTGAAATCCGATCATGAGTCTTTAACTTCTAAGTTTGATACTATTTCTAATGAAAATATGATCCTTAAAGAAAACAATGAAAAATTAAAATTGTATCATGATTCTTTGCTTTCAAACTTTGCCAAGTTAACTCATGAAAAAGATAATGCCATGTTAGAAGTAGAGAACATACAAAATGATACTGCTTCCTTTATAAATGACTATTTATGTTCTACTTCTAAAAATGCATATGTGCCTAAAAATGAAGATTTGAATCTTATGAAAAATAGTATTTCATCTTTAGATTCAACTTTGAAAATATGCTTTGATAATCATAAGAAGCTTATGGACATGTGCGCCAAGACTAAGTCAAAATCATCCACTCATTATGCACACATGTATAGCAAAACTTATAAGTGTTCTAATTGTGGCCGTCAAGGTCATTTAGCTAAGTTTTTCATTTAGCTAAGTTTTGTTATGATGCACACAAACATAAGAATTCTAATGCTCCTTGTGCATCTCATGTAGCTTCTTCATCACTTACACATTCACATGCTCATTCTCACAAAGTTCATCATAAGCATGCTAGTGTGTTCAAGTGTGATCATTGTGGTCGTTTTGGTCATTTGGCCAAATATTGTTTTGATTTGAAAAGAAAATCACGTTTGCCAAATGTATCTAGTAGACC